GATGCTGTCTCCCTGAAGATGGTTTTGAGCTGGAACCCGAAGCGTCAGGTGGATTAACTTTTTGTTCCAGTGATCACGTCTACTTCTTCTCAATTTCGCCCTAAGACTCACCTTTTCACTTGAAATTTGTTATCACTTTGAAACGGATTACCTAAGTGGGGTAATAATATTAATTACTGTGCAGTCTACTCTCAAGATATTGCATTCGCATTCGGTGCCGGCTTTTAAAAGAGCTTCGTTTCGGCTACCTAAAAGAGATCAACTCTAGACAGACTGGCTATGGAAGTGGTACGACTTCTTTCCGTTGATTTTAGACCTGTATTTGTACTTGATTCGATTAGCACTTGTTGTTGGATGAATCGGCTTCACGGATAGCGGTGGCCAATTGGCGACGATCGAAAAAGAGCTCCTCGCAGTGGTCAACCCAGTGCTTGTTGCATCGTTGCAAGGCTTAAACGGTTACGAGGACCATGCGTTCGACGTCTGACTTGACATTGTTCATTCACGTCTTCAGTTGACCTCCATGTTGGCAGTTCCAGTTTGCACTGCGAGAGGTGTTCACGACCAATCTGCAAAGGTCTGTCGATGGCTTGCGCAGGACATGGCCAAAACATTGTAATCGGCGATGCTGGATGTTTAATGCTAGACCTGGTAGTTTGAAACACCTACGATATAGCTCAAAATGTGGAAATTCGACTCTGCCCGGAGACGTACGGTCCATGCAGTTTCTTGGGAATTTTGTCAAAAGTACCGTTCCCAGTTGATTTTAGACGCCCTTATAAACTCAAATATATTCTTGGATGAACGCGTATTAATCACTAATGGACTCCTGCGTCCCGTTCTGCCGTCCCCCAGGGAGAGGTTACAGTTCAGTTCAGTTTTCTTAAGGGAAAGATGGACAAACGCTTTTGAGCTCCTTGTTGTTAACACAGTGGCTAAGGAGTGCACCGATTAGGGCAGACAAATCCAAAAAAGAGGTCGTTTACATAGTTGCAGACGGAAAGCGAGCAGCCGTCTGTTAGTCGAAGAGTAAGCATACAAGACTACTCACTTAGTTGAGGTAGTATAATCCCCATATGTAATTATCACTTCGGGAATAGTACCTGGGCTTAGTGGCGAGGCAGTCTGTGTGGTCCATCCAGCACGCCCGCAAATGAAACTCCTCTAACTGCCTCTGGGTCTGACAAGCAACCTGTCGCGAATTATGCAGCACGAATAG